ATTTTCAATACTCTCACACTTTTTCACTAACACACTCTTATTTATTGCTTGAGTGGGTGACTTGCTTTCAATTTTTCACTTTCAATTGAGTTCAATTTTGCTTTACATTTTGATCAGCTTTTCAGCATTGGCGTGCGAATTTTGTGAAAATAATAAAAAAAAACAAGCTTATGCATGCTAAAATCTTAATTTACAATGGAATTAAAATGGAAAATGGTCTTCAGAAGCTAGTTAGTTACATTGTTTTCTTGAAGGCGGCATATTGATAATGAAATTGCTTCTCAAATTGAATGCAGCCTACGTAATGGCTTTAAATTTTTATGATTTTTGACAAGCAATGTGTGTGAGGAAATTGAAAGGCAAAACTGATTGTGTGTCATCAGCGTATAAAAGCTGTCTTTCATCTACTTATTACTGAAAAATATTCAATATGAAAATACTATTTATTTTTTTGTATAAATATCCAATAAATATTCACATCGTGCATACAAGTTTACTTATGTGTTCAGTTGATCTTTATTTAATTTTTATCCACTACTTTTAATTGTCAAAAACATTAAATAAAACAAAAACACGTATGACAAAGTAAATTAAGGTGTTCTACAACAATGTGTGTACATACAAACGTATGTGGTACATATGAAAATATAATAATATTAATCGCCAACACCAAAAAATTTATGAGAAACTTGCCAATAATCAGTCAATCGCGGTTTGTTGCTTTGTAGTAGGAAGATGTTCCAGTAAGAAATGCAATCCCAGTTGGCTTAAGTGCGTTCCAAGAACATCATTTGACGTAATGCGACAGACATTAAGGTCTCCAACAACTATTAATTCTCCATTATTTCTATTACTCAGCTCCTTATATCTTCTTCCAATAATCTTCTAAATGCTGGTAATAAAAAATATAGATTTCTGTACACTACAGCGATTGCCAAGTCAGGTTTTGATATTGCCAGAAACTGATACACTTTTCCGGCTACATGATGAGTTTTAATGAAACTTGTGGTAAAGCAACTTGCAACTTCTTTTTTGGCGCTGTAACCGCCTAAGCGATTTTGGCCGAGTTCAGCAAAGCACGCCAGTCGTTTCTCCTCTGTGCCAACTGACGCCAATTGGAAACGCCAAGTGAAGCCAAGTCCTTCTCCACCTGATCTTTCCATTGCAGTGGGGGCCTCCCTCTTCCTCTGCTACCACCAGCGGGTTCCGAGTTGAATACTTTCAGAGCTGGAGCGTCGGTGTCCATTCGAACGACATGACCAAGCCAGCGGAACCGCTGTATTTTAATTCGCTGCACTATGTCCATATCGTTGTAAAGCTCATACAGCTCATCGTTCCATCGTCTGCGGTACTCGCCGTCGCCAACGCGTAAAGGCCCGTAAATCTTTCGCAAAATCTTTCTCTCAAACACTCCAGGAGCCGCCTCATCGGATGTTGTCATTGTCCATGCTTCTGCGCTATATACCAGCACGGGCATGATGAGTGACTTATAGAGCGTGGTTTTCGTACGTCGAGAGAGGACTTTACTCCTGAATTGTCTACTCAGTCCAAAGTAGCACTTGTTGGCAAGATTGATTCTGCGTTGGTTTTCAATGCTGACATTATTATCGGTGTTAATGCTGGTTCCCAAGTAAACGAAATTATCTACTTTCTCGAAATTGTAACTGTCAACAGTGACGTGGGTGCCAAGGCGTGAACGTGCTGACTGTTTGTTTGATGACAGGAGATATTTCGTCTTGACCTCGTTTACCACCAGACCCATTCGCTTTGCTTCCCTATCCAACTTGGAAAAGGCAGAACAGACTTCGCGGTTTTTGTTACCGATGATGTCGATGTCATCGGCATAAGCCAGCAATTGCACGCTCTTGTAGTAAATTGTTCCTGAGCGGTTCAGTTCTGCAGCTCTTATTATCTTCTCCAACATCAGATTAAAGAAGTCACATGAAAGGGAGTCGCCCTGTCTGAAACCCGTTTTGTGGCGAACGGCTCGGAGAGGTCTTTCCCAATTCTGACGGAGCTGATGGTATTGCTCAACGTCATTTTACACAGCCGTATGAGTTTTGAGGGGATGCCAAATTCAGACATAGCGGCGTATAGACAACTCCTTTTAGTGCTGTCAAAGGCGGCTTTAAAGTCGACAAATAGGTGGTGAGTGTCGATCCCTTTCTCGCGGGTCTTTTCCAAGATTTGGCGTATTGTGAATACCTGGTCTATGGTGGATTTTCCAGGTCTAAAGCCACACTGATAAGGCCCAATCAGTTCATTGACGGTAGGCTTAAGTCTTTCACACAATACGCTCGATAAGACCTTGTAACCTATGCTTAGAAGGCTGATCCCGCGGTAGTTGGCGCGAATGGCGGGGTCACCTTTCTTGTGGATTGGGCACAGCACACTTAAATTCCAGTCGTCGGGCATGCGTTCATCTGACCATATTCTGCACAAGAGTTGATGCATGCACCTTATCAACTCCTCGCCGCCGTACTTGAATAGCTCAGCTGGCAGGCTGTCAGCTCCAGCAGATTTGTTGTTTTTCAACCGCGTTATTGCTATACGTACCTCGTGATAGTCAGGCGGTGGAACGACGACTCCGTCATCATCGGCTGCGGGCTCGGGTTCTTCTTCTCCACAACTTTCCGTGCTGCTTCCGTTTAGTAGGGCGGAAAAGTGTTCCCTCCATAATTTAAGTACGCTCTGGACATCAGTTACTAGGTCGCCATTATTGTTCTTACAGGAGTACGCCCCGGTCTTTAAACCTTCCGTAAGTAGCCTAACTCTCTGGTAAAATTTTCGGGCATTCTTCCTGTCGGCCAGCATTTCAAGCTCTTCGCACTCACGTATTTCGGCCTCTCTCTTCTTATTGCGGCAAATACGTCTCGCTTCCCTCTTCAGATTCCTATAGCGGTCCCACATAGCGCGCGTTGCGCCCGATCGCAGCGTGGCCCTGTAGGCGGCATCTTTTTTTTCTGCAGCTTCCTGACACTCCTCATCGTACCAGTTGTTCTTTCGGGCTCGCTGAAATCCGACTACTTCTTCGGCGGCGGTACTTAATGAGCGGGAAATGTGGTTCCACTGCTCGCATATGTCGGTTTGTTGAAGAGTGCTCTCTGAGAGCAGGTGTGATAGTCGAGTAGCGAACGCGCTGGCTGTCTGTTGTGATTGCAGCTTTACGACGTTAAGCTTTCCTTGCATATTTGGGCGCACATTTTTTGGTGCACCTAGGCGGGTGCGTATCTTGGCTGCAACAAGATAGTGGTCCGAGTCGATGTTTGGGCCTCGGAGTGTGCGTACGTCTAAAACACTGGAAGCGTGCTTTCCGTCTATCACAACATGATCGATTTGGTTTCTCGTTTTTCGATATGGAGACAGCCACGTAGCTTGATGGATCTTTTTATGCTTGAACCTAGTACTGCATACTACCATGTTTCGGGCCCCGGCGAAGTCGATCAGCCTCAATCCGTTGTCGGACGTTTCGTCGTGGAGGCTGAATTTTCCGACGGTGGTTCCAAAGATCCCTTCCTTGCCCACCCTGGCATTGAAGTCGCCAAGCACGATTTTGATATCATGGCGGGGCAGCGCTCGTATGTGCGCTCCAAGCGCTCATAGAAGAGATCCTTGGATGCCTCATCCTTCTCTTCCGTCGGGGCATGGGCGCAGATGAGCGAGATGCTGAAGAATCTCGCTTTGACGCGGATTGTGGCTAGACGCTCGTCCACCGGGGTGAACGACAGTACTCGGCGACGGAGTCTCTCTCCCACCACAAATCCTACACCGAATTTGCGCTCCTTTACATGGCAGCTGTAGTAGACGTCGCAAGGCCATTGCTTGCCTTGCCCCGTCCAACGCATTTCTTGGATGGCGGTGATGTCAGCTTTTGTCCTTACGAGGACATCAACCATCCGGGCATCAACCCATTAAGGGTCCGGACATTCCAGGTGCATGCCCTCAAATCGTAGTCCTTTAAACGTTTGCCGTGGTCGTCATCATAAGGGGGGGTCTCATCCGAGGCTTTGCCTTGCTTCTTCACTGGAAGTGGTTTTTACGTGGTGGGTCCCAAGTGGTTTCGCAACCAAATACACGTTTATATAGCGAGCCGCTTGTTCCAAGCAGACACCCGCTTGCAGGCGCACCTACTGGTGAACAGACGCTGCAGACTTCAGTGAGTTAAAGTGAATAAGTCGGAGTGGCCCCACCGAAGCTCCCTCTCTTTCTGCCGTGACCCAAGGCTCCACTCGCATTGGTTACCGCATCTCGCACATGGGTTGCTCACGTTGCCCAGAGTGCGCGAACGAGGACGCAAGAGTCGGGATTGAGTATAGCCATGCAACTGTAACTGCATACCCAGCGCAACGACTATACCCCATTGCACTCCAAATTGCATGACCAGTTTTACAATAAATGATTGCTCCATGCCGTGAGCGGCTTTGTTCAGTTTGAGTTGCTGCATCGATACGCGCTACAATACTACAGCCTCCGATTTGTAATTCTTCTTCTGGACGAGTCCAAGTCTCGGCAAAACAAATGATATCCGCTGAATAAATAAGGTGGTCTAATGCGATCGATATGCTTTCATAAGCTTGTTTTGATAGTACAATAGAAGAGTGCTATCTGGGCGCTCAATTGCAAATTTGTAGTGAGTCTCTAATTTTTTTAAATGTCGAAGTATATTCAGCTGTGCTTGGACTACTTTGTTGCCTCTAACAGGTCTAGGTGGAATAAAATTACCTACAATAAATAATTATGCGGCTCATTCCCTTCCTAGTATGAATAGCAACCAATCTGTAAGTTTCTCCTTGGATTTTGTGTATTGTTATTGCCTCTGCAGGTATTATAGGGAACTGTCTTCTTTCTATCGAGACTTGTTCGTTTCTTCTACATTGGAAGGTGCACACTACTTTTTCAATTGGTGTCCAGCTCGATTCGTGGGAGTGAAGTTTTTGGAACGTGCTATTACTCCAGCTCCTGGCTCGGAAAAGTGCATCCAAAGAATTACTGATGTCCATTCGGAGCCTCGATGGTCAGTTTGCATTAGTCGGCCCGTAGCTCCATTTACCAAACCATCTGCAGTATGCATGTTGACCGCAATCATGTATTTTGCAGAGGTTTTCAGTTGTAAACTGTAGCGCACATTCCTTGTGTCTGCGATATTTTAAAATTCTTAATGGCATTCAATATAACCGTTTTACTTCGCTCCGAAACAGAGTTCGCCTTCACACCGTCTTTCGCTGTAGAGACAAACTCTTCTGTGGCGATTTCAGCCAATCTTGCAGTATAATATACAGCCCGATTCTGATTCTTCCCCGGGGATTTTCTATTTTTTTTCTTTCCTCCTATCATGAAAAAAAATTTCCCAGAGGATTTTTTTCTTCTCCCTTTCCTCCTATTCTAAACGAACTTCGAAAAAGGGAAAATGTATTTCGGGAAAAAGTAGCTATCACGCATGCAAATCAAAGGAAGAATGTGATGACAGTTTTAAATAAATTTTCCGCCAGAAAAGTGTGAGGGAGCAGTACCCAAGAATGTAAGTATTTGCGAACTTTTTAATAGAAAACAATGTTAAACAATTTTTTAGGTCAAAAACTACAAACAGGAACCAATTAGAGATACTCATAAACCTTATGCAAGGTAATCCTGGCATTGCGCGTGGGTTTTATACGGGCAGCAAGGATGACTTAAACAGATTTTGGCGCAAAGCTGAAGCTGAACTGAATTCGGCTGGCCCACCATCTAAAAATGTTGCAGAGTGGAAAAAGGTAGCTACTCATGCTGAATATAGTTCAGTGTTCAAATAAATTAATGCCCAACATCTCAGGTTTGGGCAGATCAGAAAAAATACGTCCGGCAGAATGCAGCCAACAACAACAGGCAAAGAAAAGGCACAGGTGGTGGTCCTAATATTGGGTACAAATTCTCTGCCACCGAGAGTGCGATATTTGAATTGATTGGAATGAAAGAATCGTTGATAGGTGTAGCAAAGCTCTTTGGATTGGACGTGGTTGAGACAGACGAAACAGAAGAACCACTACCTCAACGAGAAGAAACACTATCTCAACGAGAAGAAACACTACCGCAACGACAGGAAACAATAACTACACGAAATGAAGCATTTGAAGAAATAGAGGAGGAAATTGAAATATGTGGTATTGGCGAAAACGAGCATAGTTCAGTGAAATTTTGTAAGCCTACACCTGTGCGAAAGGAGGTGCCAAAGCAAAAAG